GGCCGGCCAGCGCGCGCCGAGCCCCGGAGGCACTTCCGGCGGCTCTCTAGGAATCCGGGAGGCCCGCGAGCTCTATGGTCAGCGGAGGGCCCCGGCGCGGGCTGCAGTGTGGCGGTCCCGCTGCGATGCGAGTCTCGCGTTCCGTCTCCTCGGTTACCCTGCGCCGTATACTGTTCTTCCCGCAGACTTCTCCAGTGGCCACATGGACAGCGCTTTCCTGCTAAGCATAGCTCGAGGTCCTGTAAATCCCCGGGGTCAAAGTGGGACTCCTTGGACCCTGAGCGCAAAGTCTTGGCGGGAGCCGGGGCGGAGGTGCGCGTCCTGGGCGCAGAGGTCGTAGGCGGGCTGGCGTGGGTCCTGGTGAGAGGAGAGCGAGCCAGAGCCCACCGCCTAAGCACCGGAGGGCGGAGAGCGGAGGAGGGAGCTCGAGAGAGTGCGTGCGGAGGCCTTCGGGCCGGGTAGCTGAGCCGTGGCCCGTGCGAGAGACGCCTCCTCCAGGGCGCGCAGTGAGTGTGAGGAATTCCCACCAAAGACTCAAAGGCAGGTGCCCAAGCGGGAAAGGAAGGCAGCTACGTTTCTTGTGCTCCTGGAAAAAAACAGGTCGTAGTGATTGAGGATCAGCCCTGCATGTCCCAGAGACCAAAGAGATAGAGGGAACCCAGGACTGCCCGCGGAACACAACTGCCTACCAAACTCTAGGGAAATCCTGCTCCTCAGTGAAGATCATAGGGCTCTGACCAACATGGCTCAGATCCTGCCAGATCATTCAGCTGTGGGTTCCTTGTTAGGGCAAATGAGAGCACGATTGAGACCACCGAGACAGGCGGAGTTTAAGCAACATGCAAGGATATACTGCAGACCTGTGTTCCTGGGCCGAGGGCAGAAAGACCCCTGAGCCCCAGCAAGGGGCAAGAGTGTGTTTGAAGCGGGGAGTTTAGGAGGAGAGTGGAGCGTTGCCGGGGGCCGAGTGGGGTTGGGTCTCTGAGTATGGGTTCTGGGGCTGGATGATAGGGCGGTGTTGGATACAGGGAGTGCTGGCAGGCATAGCGTGTCTCTTGTGGGTTTTCACAGGATCATCTGCAGGTTGAGCTTCATGGGGCAGCTGCTACCTGATTGAGCTGAGCAGAGAAGCTGCTGGCTTCCTGTTAACGCTCCATGCCTGCAGGTGTGAATAGCAGATCTGCTAGGGGACTTTTTCTCTCCTGGCTGGGTGAGGGTCTAGTTTAGAGGCCTGGCATGCTTTACATGCATGCAGGGAGGAGATAAGATATGCCATAGCCCAGTCACATCCCCAGGCCCCCCTTGAAACCACTGCTGCAATGAGAAACCAGGCCTCCCTGTGTGAGTACCTATATGGATGAGAGAGGTGACCCCAAATGTGGAGATCAAAATGTTAACCAGCAGATGCCCTGTATTCCTGAAAGTGTCCTGAGGATATAAACACTAGAAAGCAAGCCCGGGAACCTTCCAACCCCAAAGGAAAGAGCTTTTTAGGTTCCACAGCATTTCCAACCAACACAAGCTTGTGTCCTTTGAATAGCAAGCACTGTCTGTGTGAGCCCAGCACAAACTCCCCTAAATAGGTGATGGCCAGATTGGCCCTAGCCAGTGAACTGGGCTTTCCAATGACAGTGACACATAGGTCCCCAGGACAATGCTCTTCCCAATCTTACAAAATCAGAATTGGCAGAAGTTTGGGCAAGCAGTGAATTCCATTGAAATGAGGAAAGAGCTTGCTGTGCACATTGCTCGACTCTCCCACAACAGATATTTGCTGGGCAGTGACCATACTTTTATCCTAAACTAAAGGGTCAAATTGAGCCATAGTAATTCTTTATGCCTATTTTTAAAAATATATTCTAATTTTTAAATGTATTTTCATCATTCTCTAAGGACTTAAAGTTCAACATATCAATACTTGATGAAAAATACCTGTTCCATGTTATGCCTAAGATGTTTGATATTCAGACAGACAGAATATCAAACATCTTAGGCATAACATGGAACAGGTATTTTTCAAAATCAGAATTTTAAGGTTAAGCTTAACAGCCTAGGTTGTATGGTAATAACAATAAGCTTGTCTTCTGGAGGGTTAACAACCTAAGTTTGCAGACCAAAATTAGAGAAAAAGGAGGGCCGCAAGGAAAGCCAACATTTTGGCCCTAGCCTTCCAAGGTCAA